AGGTAACTGCAACGCAATCCTTTTTTCCACTTTATGCTCCCCGCCGTCTCTGATCAAGGCAACTCGCCAGGGCAAAGTTGCTGGACGGGCTGGTGTGGATGCGCGGGGCTTGAAGAGGTCCTTGCTGGCTCAGACGGCATGCAACAATCCGCCGCCGCGCTTGTGCGGCATTGGTTTGTTCAGTGAACGTGGTTTAGGTCGCGGGTGGGTCGCGGGCTCTCCACCTCCACTTGGAACGAGTGCAAAAGATGCCCGCCGCAGGCGCCAACAAAAACCTGGTTTGTACACTGAACGTGGTTTGGGTCGCGGGTGGGCCGCGGGTTCTCCACCGGGAACAAATGCAAAAGATGCCCGCCGCAGGCGCCGAAACATGTGGTTTGTACCCTGAACGTGGTCGCGGGTGGGCCGCGGGCTCTCTCCATCTGAAACGAATGCAAAAGATGCCCGCCGCAGGCGCCGAAAAATGTAGTTTGTACCCTGAACGTGGTGGGTCGCGGATTGGTCGCGGGTTGGTCACGGGGTGGGTCGCGGGCTCTCCATTTGGAAGGAATGCAAAAAAAAAAAAACCGCTGCAGGCGCCGAAAATGGTGGTTTGTACCTTGAACGTGGTTTGGGTCGAGGGTGGGTCGCGGGGTAGGTCGCGGGTGGGTCGCGGGTGGGTCGCGGGTGGGTCGCGGGTGGGTCGCGGGGTGGGCCGTGGGCGGGTCGCGGGGTGGGTCGCGGGGTGGGTCGCGGGGTGGGTCGCGGGGTGGGTCGCGGGGTGGGTCGCGGGGTGGGTCGCGGGTGGGTCGCGGGTGGGTCGCGGGTGGGTCGCGGGGTGGGTCGCGGGGTGGGTCGCGGGTGGGTCGCGGGGCGGGTTGCGGGTGGGACGACGACAACAACAACAACAACAAACAACAACACTCAACAACAAACAACAACGAGAATCCGCGGAACTCCACTTCAGCCACGCCCCCACGGACAGTGAATGACCGTTCGGCCCCCTCACTCTGATGATGTTTGTTGTTGCTCTAGGGAAAGTTTTCAGAGTCAAACGATGGACAAGGGACACATTTGCCCGAGAGCATTGGTCTCGATGTATATGTAGATCTACGAAAGGGCAAACCTATAACTCGAGTTCGCCGGAGTTCGAATTTGTCTATGATTTTGACGAGCCCGTCCTGGAGTTTGATGGTCCAGTGTTCGTGGGATGTTTGCAGCGGGAGCCCGCGTCAAATTTCAGATTGGGTCTCGTCATCTTCCCGGCGGCCCCGTCAGACCAACCCGAGCGTTCCGAACCTGAGCCTTCCGTCTCCCCAATACATTGTCAGATCGACACACAGATAAACATACCGATAGATAGTGATACCAAGTGAATGATAGATATATTGTGGGCCCGATAGATGGTGATATCGAGAGATGATGAGGCCGATAGGCTTCAGACCGATAAAGGTTGTTCGATGGATGGAGGCTGCTAGATCTTGAGACCGATAGATAGATCGCAAGATCGATGTATATATGATGATATCGAACGGGATGGTTAGAGAGGCTGATAAATAGATACATGTACATCTAGGGATACCTTAGTTTTAAAAAACACATCTAGATATAGGTAGCGGCATTGATGTATGCGTATACCTACATACCGACATAGACTGTGATATCGATAGAAAATGACATCGATGGATTGATAGATAATGAGATCGGTCGGATTTCTGATGCAGGGCTCTGGCCCCCCCCCCACTCCAATGCTAATGGGATCGGGCCCTCCCTTCCGCTGGATTGGATGCTCGCCCCCCTGTGGTCGTGGCCCTGTGGGCGTGGTGTGGTCGTCGTCGCCTTCCGTCGTCGTCGTCGTCGTCGTCGTCGTCGTCGTCGTCGTCATCGTCGTCGTGGGGGGGAGCGGGCCTGTGAACCCTGGGACTCATCCCGCCTGGGTGGGGAGGCTGTGCGCCCTCGGCCCTGGATCGTATACAGTGAGATCGATAGGGGGCGACATGTAGATGGTGAGGCCGATCGATAGGGAGACCAGTGGAGAGAATGTTCGATGGATGGAGACGGTTGTCCCGATGGTTATCCCGTCGCTGGCGCCTTCAATCACCAGCCGCCTTATTGGCATTTGACCGGTGTCTGGCCAGGAGCCCGGGCCGCACGCTGCTTGCATGATCCCGGCGACATCCCCACACAGTAAGTGGGAACGAAAATGGCGACCGGCGATGGGAGGCAAATGCCTTCCGGCTGCCCATGTGCAGTAGGTCCAGAGTTCTCCTTCGGGCTGGATGCGCGGCAGCCGAGCCACGAGCAACAGATATTTTGAGGAAGGGAGAGAGAAAGCGAGAGAGAGAGAGTGAAAGAGGACCACAGTTGTGCATGGAGCAATGCATTTTCGGCGTCTGCCATTCGCTGCAAGCGCACAGCAATCGTATACAAACGAGTGCTAAAGAGCAGTTTGCTCCAGGGGCCGCCCACCTGGCAATCTCGTGGCCTTCGGCAACATGACCGCTGGGGGCGCAGCTCGCAGGCCTGCCGCTTCGCTGCATTTGCTTGCTTGCGCGCGCACAGCTCGTCACGCCACACTGTATCGTTCAGCATTAATCCTGGTGCGCCATGATCCTCCTCCTGAAGCCTCGGTTGTTTTTCCTCGCTCTCGTCACCACTAGCAGTCGTACAGTAGGTTCGTGACGTGTCGACGCGGCGGCGTTCTGTTTCTGCCCTGTCGTCTTCGCTCGCGATTGTCAGGTCGCGGGCCGTTTGTTTCGCTCGCGCCTGGCTCCGCTCTCTTTCTTCTGGATGCCGGTCGGTACTCCACCTGCGGGTCCGGCCTGTGTTCTGTGGTTGCCCACCTGTGGCCGCCTCTCTTCCGCTGGCATCCGCCCAGTCTGCGTGTTCTCCTCTGGCAGGTTACCGGTCCGGCTTCCACCTGCGGGTCCGGCCTGTGTTCGTTGGTTGCCCAATTGTGGCCGCCTCTCTTCCTAATTTGTTTTGCTGGTGCATTCCGCGCGTTCTCGCGCTAATTATCTTGCGCTGTGCCCCAGCCTCGGTCATACCGCCCTTTGGACTTTTCCTTGCGGGCCGCTAACCAAAAAAGTATCCTCACCAGCCCGTCCAGAAATGAGATGAGGGAAGCGGGGGGGCATGCAGAAGAACAAAGGGCGGGTAAGCCGCCATATGCCTCAAGAGGGGGAGGATGTAGGAGTCGTCGTCGTCGGAGTAGGAGGAGGAAGAGGAGGAGCAGGAGGAGGAGCAGGAGGAAGAGGGGGAGGAGAGGAGATGGAGGAGGGCGAGGACGAGGAGGACGAGGAGGAGGAGGAGGAGAAGGAGAAGGAGAAGGAAAAGGAGAAGGAGAAAGAAAAGGAGGAGGAGGAGGAGGAGAGGGAGGGGGAGGAAGGAGGAGGAAGAAAAAGGGGAGGAGGAGGAGGAGGAGGAGGACAATGGCGAACTTGTGAGCCCCTTGGGCCGTTTCTGGGGCCTCTTAGCGGGCCCGGGGGCTTCTCGCGTATCTCGGGGAGCCTCTTGGGAGTCTCTTGGAGGCCTCGTGGGCGCCTCCTGGGGCGTCTTAGGGCTCTCTTGGGGCGCTCTTGGGGCGCTCTTGGGAGCCTTCGGGCCGCTTTTGGGGCCATCTTGGGCGAGATCTATCAAAGAAGGGGGGGGGTCAATTAGCGTTGCCCCTCTAGAGTGCCTCGAGTCGCCTCTTGGGCCCCCCAAGAGGCCAAACTCCTTCCAAAACCTACGGAAAATTAATGTTTTGTGTTTTCTCGCCTTTTCGCTCTGGGAGCCGTCTTGGGCCATCTTGGACGCCCCAACGACCCGCGGAACCACCCGCCCAGGTCCAAGGGAGGGGGGAGGGGGAGGGGTAAACCCTTCCCCGAAGGGGAAGAAGGGGGTTGGAACAGGAAACTCTCCCAACCACCGACGCCCAGAGTGCTGGTGGGATTCAAGGTTGAACGCCGCCAGTGGCCCCGAATCGGCCCGTGTCCAACGATTTGTGCGCTATGGGGAAGCCGCGATCGTTCAAGATTGAACTATCCACGCGGCGTCGGCAACCGCGACACGACACGGCACGACATTGAGCAAGTCGTCGCGTCACGACACGAACCCGCTGTAGTCTTGATCGTCGTCGCCCAGCTTCTGCATTTCCTCTCCCGCGCCCTTCCTTGTCCGCGTGCGCGCCCTGTCTGTCCGTGCGTACGCGTGGTTCTTTGCTTGCAAATATCGCCTTCGTTGTCAGCGACCTCCCTGGTCGTGCCGAAGGTTCATTAACCAGCTCAGACGCCACGGCAGGGGCAGAACGCGTTCGAGTTGCCCCCGCTTGAACGAAGGCTTGGAAAAAAAAAGAAAAAAAATGATTGCAACAACAAAAAAAACCTTACTCGTATGGCGCTCTCAAGCCCGTGCCTTTTCACTACGCGTGTCAACGTTTCGCCCCTGCTGGGTTTTTTTTGCAATCCTTCGTGCAATCCTTCGTTTCTTCTCTCCGCTCCCCCCCTTTCGGCGGCGCGGCGAGGAGGCAAGGCGGAGGTGGGCGGGCATGCTCCGACGGCTCAGAAGGCCCCTCCTCCTCCCCCTCCTCCTCCTCCTCCTCCTCCCCCTCCTCCTCCTCCTCCTCCTCCTCCTCCTCCTCCTCCTCCCCCTCCCCCTCCTCCCCTGACGGCTCAGAAGGCCCCTCTGAGAAGCCCTCCTCTGAAGCCACAGAGGGCCTCTCAAAGGCCGCATGTTTTCTGACAAGCCCCGCGTCTTGAGACGGCCTGCTCCACGTCACGTCCCCGTTGGGCTCGCCACGGACCCTTGTCGTTCGATCTCTCTCTCTCTCTCACTCTTTCCCTCCTGGAACCTCCATCGGCTACCCCCTCGTCGCCCCTGATAATCCAACTGCGTGCGGCAAGTCCCGCCACTGTGCCAGCCCAGTTTTCTTGGATGGTGATGGTGATGAGGATGAGGATGAGGATGAGGATGAGGTTGACGACGATGGTGATGATGATTACGATACCGATGAAGATGTTGATGATGATAAATATGATGACGATGCTGATGCTGATGGTGACGATGATGACGATGCTCAGGCTCTATAGGAGTGGTCTGGGAGCAGAGCTCGGCACAGCCACCTTGCATTCGGCATGCACGGTCGCAAGGTGATGATGATGTTGATGATAATGATGATGCTGATGATGATGGTGATGAGGATAAGTATGAGGATAGGAGTGAGGACGAGGACGAGGAGGAGGAGGAGGAGGAGGAGGAGGAGGAGGATGGGGAGGAGGAGGTTGAGGTGGATGTGGCGGGGGATGAGGAGGAGGGTGAGGATGAGAATGAGGATGAGGATTAGGATGAGGATAAGGATGAGGATGAGGATGAGGATGGTGGTGATGATGACGATGATAACAATGATGACGATGATGACGATGGTGACGACGACGACGACGATGATGATGATGGTGATGATGATGATGGTGATGATGATCATGATGCTGATGCTGATGCTGATGACCATGCTGATGATTATGATGCGTGTGATGATGCTGATGTTGATGTTGATAATGATTATGATGTTGGTGATGATGATGCTAATGATAGTGCTAATGATGGTGGCGATGGAAATGATGATGATGATGATGATGATGACGATGACAACGACAATGACGATACCGATTAGGACGATGCTGATGCTGATGATGATTATGATGATGCTGATGATGATGGTTGTGGAAGTGATGGTGGTGGTGTGGTGATGGTGGTCGTGATCACGATGACGACGATGACGATGCCGATTATGATGCTGATGATGATGTTGATGACGATAATGGTGGTGATGTTGATGATGGTGCTGCCGTTGATATTGATTAGGCTGGTACGCAGCAAGCGCTGCCAGAGACATCAGGCGCGCTCAGGGTCGTCTAAGGCCTGAGGGGCCTCGACTGGGGCCCCCGGGAGGATGCTGGCCGCTGCGAGGCCTATCATGGAGGCGGCCCCCGCCGCCAGGAGCTCGCCCGCAGACAGGAAGCAGAGGCCCTCGTCCTCGTCCAGGTCCAGGTCGAAGTCGCGCTTGCACGGGCCCTTCGGGTCCTGTCCTTCCGCGTGCCCTCGCAGAGGCCCTCTTCCTCGTCCAGATCCAGGCCGCATTTGCGCCTGCGCATGCCCTTCAGGTCCTCCAGCCTGTCCTCGCAGAGGCTCTCTTCCTCGTCCAGATCCAGGCCGCATTTGCGCCTGCGCATGCCCTTCAGGTCGTCCAGCCTGTCCTCGCAGAGGCCGATGCCCGCGCCCAGGTCCAGGCCGAACTCCCGCACGTACGGGCCCTTCGGGTCCTCCAGCCTGCCCTCGCAGAGGAGGCCCTCGCCCTCGTCCAGGTCCAAGCCGAACTTGCGCTTGTGCATACCCTTCAAGTTTTTAAGCCTGTCCTCGGAGAGGCTCTCGCCCTCGTCCAGGTCCAGACCGACCTCGCGCTTGTGCGGGCCCTTCATGTCGTCCAGCCTGTCCTTGCAGAGGCCCTCGTCCTCGTCCAGGTACCGGCCGGGCTTTCGCTTGAGCCTACCCTGCAGGTCCTCAAGCCGTCCTCGCAGAGACCTTCGTCCCCGACCAGGTCGAGGTTGGCGCTTTTGCGTGCTCCTCAGGTCCTCAGCCAGCTTGTCCTCGCAGAGGTTCTCGTCCTCGTCCAGGTCCAGGCCGAACTTGCGTTTGTGCAGGCCCTTCGTGTCCTCCAGCCTGCCCTCGAGGAGGCCCTCGTCCATGATAATGATGATGATGATGATGCTGCTGCTGCTGATGATGATAATGCCGATGACGATGGCGATGGCGATGACGATGACGATTACGGCGACAGAAGCGAGGACGAGGACGAGGATGGTGATGATGATGATGATGCTGATGCTGACAGTGATGGTATTGATGGTGATGATGAGGTTGTCGATGTTGATGATGTTGCTGATGATGATTGCCATGCTGATGGCCATGATCATGTTCATGATCATCATGATGGTAATGATGGTGATAGTGATGGTGCCGATGATGCTGATGATGATGATGAGGAGGAGGAGGAGGCGGAGGATGAAGAGGAGGAGGAGGAGGAGGCAGATGAGGACGAGATGGTGATAGGATGAGGGAGAGGATGATGCGAGGATGCGAGGATTCGGATGAGGAGATGAGGATGATTGTGGTGGACAAGGGGCTGATAAACATGACGATGCTGGTTATGATTTGCTGATTATGATGATGATGCTGATGATGCTGCTGATGATGATGCTGAGACTGATGCTGATACTGATGCTGATGCTGATGCTGATGATGGTTAGGTGGACTAGGGAGGTGGTGATGATGGTGGTGATGATCATGAGGCGGATGATGAAACAGAGAGGTGAGCCGTCACATGTGACACGTTTCGTCTTCGCTTCTCGTGGAGCCCTCATGGACCTCATTTGGGCCGTCTTGGGGCTGGCCTGGGTGGGACAGTCCTGGGGGTCCCTTGGGGCCCTCTTTTGTCATCCTGGGGCCCTGTTGGGCCGTCTCGGAGCGTCTTGGGTCCTTCGTGGC